ATTAACATGAAACTAAATTGGATGTGGATTCTCCTTGTCAGTGGTGCAGGAAGGAGGGCCTGACAAGGACAGCTGTCTAGTCGTTCGATGGGATGAAAAACCGAGGTCCTGTGTACACATTGGCATGCACGTAAAAGATCCCTTGGCAGTTGGAATTCGATATAACCAAATCAACATAAAACTAAATAGGAATATCTATGTCAAGTAGGAATGTTCATTGTTCATGTAGTAATGTAATCAAACGTGAAGATAAAACAATTTCTATTCAAATTTAATATGACATGATTGGTATTTAAATAAACAAAACAACCTCAGAGAGAACAGGTGTATACTGTATTGTCCACAGAATTTGATGCTAGTTAACAGAAGGTAAGATGCTATATCTACATGTACCTATGTGGTGAACTTCCTACAAACTGATTTTCCAATGCGGTTTCCCCTTGTCAATAGTGCAGGAAGGAGGGCCTGACAAGGACAGCTGTCTAGTCTTTGTTGGGACAGAAACCAAGGTCCCGTGTATACATTGGCATGCACGTAAAAGATCCCTTGGCAGTTGGCAAAATTTCCCTCATAGCATACTGTATGGTGTACGCCCGTCTTCATTAGCCCAGTCGGAGCAGAACAGTAGGACGTTAAATCCCATTTAATTTCATTTCATAGTGCCGCAGCCCGGGCAAAATTTCCCTCATACATGTAGTACACTGCATGGTGTATGCAGAACAGTAGGATGTTTACTGTTGTTGTTTATTACAATATTAAAGGTGCATTATGTAAGATTTAGATAAAGAGCTGGGCCCTTATTCACGAAAACTCAACTGAGATAAAATCCAAATTTTAGTAATTTGATTGGATAATATTAGATTGATTTTAGTGCTTAGCCAATCAAAATTGAGGTATCTACTAAAATTTGGATTTTATCTTAAGTTAAAATTTCGTGAATCAGGGCCCTGGCCATTCTTGCTATAATAGTTCAAAAATAGATAATGTAAAATAAAAATATTGAAATTTTCATTCAAATTACTTTATTCTGAATGAAGATGTAGCGTAGATTGTGTATTATCATAACAACGGTACTGGACAAACAAGACTAAGTCTCGATTATCCATTTTATCGTTAAATTTTAAAATCTCGCGAGCATTTCAATCCACTTAAATCTCTGCCACCCGATATTTTAGTGAGTTGATTATGGGCTTGTCATATCAATAAATATCTAAATAAATATCTGAAGACAAAATAAAGACTTGCAATAGGCAGAATTATCTCTTACATAATGTATCTTTAGCATCCAATATATTTTTTATGATATTGACCTGTGCACAGGTTGATTTTAATTAAGATTATTTACCTGCATACCGACGAAGTTTACTATTCTGCAATACCTTTATTTAATTTAATTATATTCTATTTATTAGTAATTACAAACTTTTGATAATGTCATACGGTGTATCAGTAGGGTACATGTATATCTGTCTCTTATATCTAAATAATTTCAATTAGCCCTGGAAGCAATTTGATGAAAGCATGTATTTTGTTGGTTATCGTAATCCAGTGATATTGACAGTGAGTCATTTACACTGCATGATACAAAATAAACTATTGTTTAAACAAAGTCAGCTAAAAATTAAACTATGTTTGTTACAATGGATGTTAAAATTCTTCATCAAAGACGAGAGTTTGTACATTGTCTGTTTTCCATGTAGAAATTATAGTCAAGTAAATCTATTATTCATAACTTAGCTGGTGCTGGATGCAGACATTGCCAGGCATGGAAAAGTGTCCAGTTCTTCGGATGGTTCTAAAAAACATTGTCATCACGTTCAAGATTCTCTGACAGTGACATGCTCTCCTCATTACTACATTAGCCCAGTTTATGCAAAAATGAAATGTGGTTAAACATCCTATTTTCGGCTCCATCTGAGCTGATGAAGACTGGCATATGCCTTGCAGTTTGCTACATGTATGAGGCAAGATATTAAACCCCATTTCATTTTATTGCCTTAGAGTTAATTAAGTATAGTTGAAATCAGACAAAAATACATATAGCATGACTTGTGTTTGTCTTATAAAACATAGTTTTTATACAGCAATCTTTCTAAATGATCACATTAAAACAAACTACAGAGATAATATAAGCTTATTATTCATAGTTCTGACATCTTGATCAAAGTAATATCTATTTTATGTAAAAACAAGAACATTTCAGTTGAGGATCAAAATAGTTAATCTTTCTATGATTGCATAAACAATAATCTTGGGATGGGTTAAGGGTTAGTGTGATATGTCATATTGACAATATCAGGATACATAGAGCTTTTTCTTAGCATTCTTAAATCTATATTCAACACATGTGTACATTGGGGGGAGGGGATACTGTGAGAGGAGACGAAAACCTTAAAATTTCTTCGTAAGACAACATATAGCCTTATTTTAGATTTCAAAATTAATAATTAATTTGAAGACTGTTGTTGTTATGTAAGAAAACAAATCGGAGTATAAATAAGACTTTCCAAAACAATGAGCAGGCTAGTATGAAAAGATAGCATCTCCAAAATACTTATCCGACCTTATGCAAATACATTTTCCCTTGCTTAAAGGCTCAATACCACTCTTGTTGTAACTGAATAATATGTCCCAATCTTTATTCTGATCAACAAATTGTACTATTTTACAATATTCCAATTAATTGATTATACAAATTTCATCTTAACACACCTAATTTAAAAAATTGGAAAAACTCAACTAAATGATTTGAAAAGCCTGACGTAAAGCTTTTCAAATGTTACTTGGATTTAAAAATATTTTTGAACCCTCCGGACAAGTAAAATATGATTTAATGGATAATGTACACAACAGGTAGGACACTAACACATCTAGTACTTAGAATAAGGCTATTTTTCTATTTTCTGGAGCTGTCAACCCAGCAAGAGTGTTATTGTCCCTTTAACCTCCAGTCAAACAGACTTCATCAGTTGTGTTGCCCAAGGTGGAAGCTAAAACCATACGGATACAGATCGTTCTCAGTGAATGCACCCAAACAGTGGAACAATATACCAGAAATCATTAAATCACCTCAAACTCTTTCTTGTTTTAAATCAAGACTTAAAACTCCATCTTTTTGAGAAAGGTTATCAGGTCCGGATTATTATTACCACCTGCCTTAGAGAAACAATCACAGAGGTACTGTAGCAATGTGAAACCACTGGAAACTTACAATGGCTATAACTTTAGAACTGATTGAATTGAACAATTTTTAACCAAAATGATATAGTCTTTATTTAAATTAATTTACTTTTGATAATATCGTATTAAACTCCATACTTATTTAACCTTTAATCCTGTGTGTTAAATGCACAACAAGTTAGATCACTGAAAACTATTATTAAATGTTATAAAAACTGTCATGAAAAATGGGCTGGCTTGTACAAGAATGATGTATTTGTGAAATCAATATAAACTTAAAGATACATTCCAATGGAAAGCAGAGACACAATTTTACTAGAAAAATACTGGATTACCTCAGAATCGAGACTATGCTATTCTTTTCAAAATTTAGACAGTCATATAACTTCACTTCAATAATAAAGTAATTTGATTGAAATTTTCAATATATTCCTTTTTCATTATCTATTTTCAAACTATAGCGATAACGGCCAAATATAGCGATAACATTAAATATTTATTTGAGTTCATTTTTAGTGTGGATTAAATTAGGCCATGAAAAATTAAATTTTGTCCGGCAAATGCAAATGACAATCAGCGGCTTTAAACTCTAAATCAACAAATACAATGTATGGTTCATTTTGGAATATTGGGGCTTTATGGTTGAAATTTTTGTGGTCATATTGAGTTCCGATTTTACAATTATTTAAATATATTTTAAGACATTATTATGTTTTTCGCTGATATTCAATTCAGTTGATATGATCAAGTTTTAACCCATTTCAGATTTCTAGCAATGGTCATAGTAAATCTTTAAAATCAGTATATTTCTTCCTTAATCTTTTTATCTATTTTTTAATATTACATGTAACTTGATTTCATTGAATTAGCATCATTAATTTCCCAGATGAGACAAAAAAAACCTGACCAAATTCCATTTGTTTAATTTTGCAATACTGGTAAATAATGAAAACCAAGAAAGAAACAGTTTGATTAACCCTGAAAAAAATGTATTTGTGTCAGCAGCACTTCAAAAATTACCATGAAATGTTCAAATGTCAATGTAAAAATTTCTGGAGAGGGGTCAAATAAACGAAAAATAATAGATTTATATTAAAAAAAAAGTTTACATTGAAAAAAATAGAAAATCATAGGAAAATAACAGCATAATACTTTTTAAGCAGATACTTTGGATTTAGCGTTTTCAGACCCACAATTAATTTTAAAAAAATAAAATAAAAGAAATATATCTATGATGCAATGTTGGTTGCCTGACGAACAAGCCCTGTTAAAAGTGATAATACTGATAATTGCAGTTACAATGACCCAATACACAAATAGTCAATACATGTAGTACAAATAACTCCACAACAGCAAATAAACCAAATATATCCATGATTAAAAATATACAATGTGGATAAGATCAATATAAACCCATACATGTACCTATCACTAGATGTGTATTCTTAAATATTACTGGTGTGTATTCCCCCAATAACCCACAGCAAATATACATCAAGTCCATATACCAATAATGGTGTGTATTCCGCCCCATAACCCACAGCAAATAGTATACATAATCCATGCTTTATAAAGTGTGTATCTATTTTCAACATAAGCCCCTTTCAAAAGATCTTTATTAAACAAAATTTGTTTATGGTATTTGATAGACATTTGTTGAAATGTACTTGAATTTTATAATTTGAAAATAAAGTCTATACAGAGTGTGCAGACTTACAATGTACTATAACGCTTACCAGTAATATAAGTCAAGTACCTTATTACACTTTATATTGATTAAGATAGAAAGTTGTGCTTTTGTATGAATATTGGATACTTACTTGACAGGCATTATACAGAATTTGGTGTTCGTACTTTTTCACATTTAATATGTTTTGAAACATTTCATACAATTGTTCTTTACTGAGTATGAGTTCTGATGCAGCAGTTGTCATTCTTTGTGGCTGTTTTCGAGGATCCTCTTCCCCACGGTATATTGCATCAAATTTGGCCATCCAAGAACTGAGTACCGTTTCTTTACTTAACCCATCAATTTCTGGTAAACTTCGCACACGTTTTTCAATGTTATTCTTGAATACTTCACGGAAGTCATTTGAGGAACACCCTCCACTTCGAACCATGTTAGCGACACGATCACTTTTTAAAAACACCTCATAATAACTCTGAACAGCATTTATAAATGCTTCGTCCGCCACTATTTGTGTTTCACCATTTAAAAAAGAATGGAACCTTTCTTTGATAGTTTGTAATTGCTGCTTAGTTACTTTGGTTTGCCTTCTTGCCATATCTGTCGGCTGCTTTGCATTAAATGGATAAGCGATGCATCGCATAACAAAAACATACAATTGAAGACGCTTCTTTCTTTCTTCTTCCTCTCTTTCGAGTTTTTCCACATCTTCTATTTTTTCACGATCACTTATTAACGATGGACTAGGACTTGACGGACGAATACTGTTGGACCGTGAATGTCCCCCAACCACACTCAAGTTATCCCCGCTAGCTGACAAGCTTCGTTGCTCAGCACTTGGCAAACTGAGAACATCCGAATTTTCGTCTTCAAGGGTATCATTTTCCGATTCCTCTTCGCTTGACGACGGATCAAGCATATTAGAAAATTAACAAAACAAGTTGAAAACGAAAGGCGGCATAAATTTATGTCTATTTACACAATTTTCATATCACAGATGCCCAAAATGTCAATCAAGTCCCCAGTCGCATCAATTGGGCATGCGCACTCGTTAGCAGACGACGGAAATGAAAAATATTACATTTTTTTACAATCATAATTTTTTCCCTGATTATTTAAATTTGATAATAATTAAATATTAAAGATAAAACGTTTTGGGAATTTCCTCGCACCTGTTCATAAATAAAATTATAATATGACGTAAAATGATATGAGGAGCCCTTTTCCGACAAAGATGAAACCCCGAAGTTGTTTTGGACGCCATATTGGAAATGGAAACCTGGAATTCAAACGTTGAAATGGAATTATGGTGTTATTCCAAATTATCAACTGGAGACAGCATTCAAATGTGGAATATATTTTTGAACAAAGTAAATTGGGATGCATCTTAATTATGATCGTTGATGAATAAGCCTGTTTTCCTTGTTTTATATGACTGAAACTCTCGTTTTATAACTGTAAACAAACAAGTGAAAGATTGACAACTCCATTTTGTGTTCACTGACAGTGACAGTTTAAATTGTTTGGAATCGTCCTATTTGTGATTTCAGACGATACGTTTAATGTTTTTACAAATTCCATTTTTGAGGACAGTTTAAGCATTCGTGTGGTGAGTCTATTTTACTATCATAACCTCTTAGTTTATGCCTTTATGGTTAGGCTACTGTTGTCGGCGATTTTGTGAGAAATCAGACATTTTCAACCGCGCGACTCGTATTCGACGAAAGCTCGTGCTCACTGTTGTTTTATCTATTAGAATAATACATTTGTTAATTACTGAAACGGTATACGTATTTCAAAGTACATAACTAACGAAATAAATCGCATTACTGAACATTTTCTGACTGACAGTGGGTGAAAGAGCTATGGCAGATATATTGATAATGGCGACTGGTTCCGACGTTTGATGGACGACTTGGCATTGTTTGCTGAATGAAGTCCATGAATCCCTTCTCCCTATAATAGAAATTTAACATCCCGCAAAATTGCATTTCCATTATTTGCAATCCATTGTGATTATATTTTCAGTCATATTGCACAGTATGGCTTTGACTCGGCATAGATTTTGCTGAATACATGGAGGCCATTATGCAGAACTCAAAGTTCTAATGCAGACGCCATTTTGTGTTTTGAAAAATCTTACTTTTTCTTACAGCTTGATTGAGATGAAACCTTGCAGAAAAAACTGGTCTTTGTATATTTTATGATTTATTTTCATACCAATTATAATGGAATCCCTGTTCTTGGAATTGTCATTAAAGTAGTGTAGACCAAAAAGGGTTGAGATTTTGAATTTCTTCATAATTTATTCATTAGAGTATCCCAAGTAAAAAGATGGCTGACTGTCTGCTGCTCTACTAAGTTGGACTGTGTTACTGCACATCAACCTGACCTACCTGAATCCTGCACATAAATTACAAAACACAATTTTTCTGGTACTTATAAAATCTCCAGATAATATCTTTTTTCGCCAATTCTATATTTAAAGCTTAATTAAATCCCTTTACTATCCAGCATATTCAAAAGCTCTTCTTAAATACATTGTACAGTAGGGTTAGTTCCTTTAGGAAGGTACTTTGATCAGACGCCTGGCCGTTGAGCGTTCCTTTACATCCCTATAGCTGCAATATGAAAATAACGCTCTTCCCCACCTCTGTCCTAAAGGCTATTTTGAGATCCTTCTTACCAACTGTTTCTCTTCTTTGTTCACCAAAGGGAATCATTTCTCTCACCTCTGACAAAAATCTATAATAATTCAACACTAGGTTCAAGTAGAATTTTGCAATTAAAAAACATACACAAAATATGTTTGAACCGATCAGCCATTACAAGACTTGAACGTGCGCAGACCCCATGTTTGTTTAATTTTTTTAATTGATCATTTTGTATGAATAAAGAGTGTCTGATTTGTATCTAAGAAAAGGAGAAAAAAAATCAGAATTGTCAAATACATGTACATTTGTATTGCAATTATTTTGGAATGATGTCACAAATCTTTTTGATTAAACACAGTGTACATCATTATAATTTTAAAAATACTAAATGAAATGTTCATTACATCTAATGCATCACAGATTTGTAACTGTTTCATTCTACTTTGTCTACAATTGATCATTGTGTTTTGACAGGAGATCACCAATTTGTATTTTCTTTTGATTGGATTAACAGGTGTAAACAGGCCTACAAGATTAGATAATCATTATCAGATGTTTTATAGTTGGTAGTAATCCTGTCATGTCATGTTGGACGTAATTAATTGGGGGGTAATTACATATTACTAATATTACACTAAGGTATATAAGTAACATGATGCCTGTTGTGTTACTAACTAGGCTATAAACCAATTATTACAAGGTTAATAAGTTGTCTGCTTTAGCCTATCACCCTAGGTGGAAGCAAATTAAGACTGACTGACAGATTAATTACAATGTTTATTTTATTATTACAAAAAATGTGAATAGCAATTAACCTGTTTAAAGAGCTAAGAATCTTGTCATTTTAAATATAAGCTTATATTATTAATTTGAAACATAAAATTGTATGTTTTAAGTTTGGTGTTGGCTTATTAGGCCTACAATTCAAATTAGAAATTGAAATAGTTTGCACTTTGCAGTATTTAAACATGGATGTTGATGTACATGTGTATAAACTTTCACTACATGTATTATATATCACGTAAATATTGTAATGTAAGGTCAGTCATGCTATAAGCTTATATACGTGTAACACATTAAAATGAAACATACACATAGGTCTATTTATGCAGCTTGCATTATGTTAAAACATGGAATACTATGCCAGTATTTTGAACCCCAAATTTTATAAATTTATCTATTGAACAGAGAGATCTGTTGAGATACACAGGCCTGGAAATAATGCTTTTAGATGTACCTGACAAAATGCCAGGCACTAATGAAATAGTACCTGACATTTTCAACTTAGTGCCGGACATGTATTGATAATATCAGCAAAAAGACAAATTAGTGATGGACAAAATGACAGGCACCAGAGGTTTTGTGCCTGACAAAGCCAGAATCTGTGTCTGACATTATCTGTGACATGTGCCTTATTTCCAGGCTTGGAGATACAGAAATGTACATCCATACAATTAGATGTAGGCTCACATTCACAGAGAAAGATTATAAATTACAATGTGTATAGTATAAGTATAATAACATATTATTGTAAAAGGGTGTTTTCATTTATGTATGTTCAATCTGCACATTACTGTTTGAAAATGCAGAATTTCAAATGTAATTATTTCAGTGAAAGCTTTGTAGAGGCTTATTTTATTTATTCAGCCTAAGGGTTTGAAGCATATTTAGATTAAAAGTACATGTTAGCAAATGAACGGATCTTGTTTCTTTTAACAAAACTAAAGTATATGTGTACAGTACATAGATCCATGAACTTAAATGTCAAGGCCTCCAAATGTATTCAGCTGAGGTGAAGGTCGTTTTATTATTGATATTTTGCTGGGGATTTTCCATTGCATTACAATGAAAGTTTGTTGTCAATATATTTTTGTCAGATAGAATATATTGATATACACTGACATGCACTTACAATGTTAACTATACAAAACTTATCTGGTGATCACATAGAATAAAGGGACCTCCCTTTATAAAATTAGCAGGCTATTGTACATGAATGTCATTGGAATGAGTCATAGGGTAAAATCTAGAGTGTTTAAAGGGAAATAACTCCATTTAGTAAATTTCAATAACAAAGTGGATACTTACATGTACCACAAGTACATGTATCTTCCAATTTATAATATCTAATGATAATATTTTACTTTTAGGCAGAATATAAAATGTGTTACCTGTATGCTAATGCGTTTGTGCTTTAACTTTTTAATTTACACCTGTAGAATGTTCAATATATATGTTGTTAGTATTTTTTGATGTTTAGATGACCAAGTGGTGGATGATAGTTTGTAATAACTGATTAGTTTATTATAGGTTTATTGTCCAAGTTACATATGTACATGTAAATATGTCTATGATCAGAAATATGTGTACTGACTGTATCATACACCAAGATTGTGGGTTGAATTGAAGTGATTATGCTTGAAAAAAAGAATCTTTAATACATTGAATTAATGTGGTTTGGCATGGTGAACAGTGCATTTATGAGGGGTATTTTCAGCATCATATATGTCAATAGTTCTCCTATATTGCACACTCAAGAATTTTTTTAAAAATAAACAAAATTAATTGCACGTATGTATATGATAATTTTTGTATGTTTGTAGGTGAGGTTGAATTTGAGATGTTATCGAGAAATAATATAATCTGTGAAGATGCTATTACAATATTGTCAATGTATTCCTTAAGATGAGTATAATAGTACAACTTGGAGCTTTAAGATCACTGGCAGCAGGGACGGATAGGACACTGTCACATCCACAGCATTCAACAACTTATCACGAGTAAGACATTTCTCAACTTTAAAATCCTTTCATTTAACATTAATACATTTCTTATTGTGTGAGGGGGGTTGGATGGCTGAATGGTTATCATGTGTGCGCTTTATCATAAGGTCTGTCATTGAGTCAACTGGCATGGGTTCGATTCCCCAGTTGTATGTGACAAGGAGTAGGGTCACCTGTCCAACCTCATAGGTTTTCTCCGGATTCTCTGTTTTCCTCCCAATGCTAAAGACCCCTACTCGAAATGACCTAGTTTGTATCAAGTGGATGTAAAACCCCATCTCTCTCTCTCTCTCTCTCTCTCTCTCTCATTTCTTATGGTGACAGCCTCCGAAATAAAAGTCTGTGTACGTGTGACATTTAAACAGCAAAATGTAGAGGAATGGTGTATTTACCTTGTCTCAAAATTTCAGCCCAATATTTTGATTTGCTTGGATGTGAATGTCAAAACTGCTTATGTGGACAAGCCACCCTTTTAAGATTTCGGGTCAATTTTTTCGTTAGGTGACCTGATAATCTATTGCCATTCTTTTAGCGGTCCATACAGTGCATGGCCCACATGCTGTAATCAATAACAAAAGGTAAATTTCACCTACACATTACACATACATGTATAAAATAAAAGTTTGTTTTTATTCAGACACTGTATAATACAGCTTGGGACACCAGTCTCCATTTCCAGATGAACACTGACAGGTTTAAGTTGTTTGAAAACATATCACGTACATTGAGTTAGTTGCTCGGCCCTAAGGTAGAGGATTTTAAGGGCTTTTAACACAAAATTAAGCAGTTTTATTCTCCAAAATAAAATAAAATCAAGATTGGCCCTTTAAATAGTTAAGTGCAGGAGTATTGCACATCACACAAACAAAACCGATAAGGCAAACATCACAGGCATTACAAGACATATACAACAAATATCAAATCAAGGGAATTGGTCCTGGGTTTCAGCCATAAGCTTCCACTGCACTGTACAAGGGAGAGAACTGTAAAATAAGATACTTATGCATAGCATTATTACATACATGTAACAACTAACATTCAGGGTTAGCATTATTACATACATGTACTGGTTCATGGATGTAAAAAAACATTCAGGGTTAATATTATTACATACATGATGTACTATACATGTATAAAATATTCAGGGTTCACATTTGTTACATACATGTACTTGTACATGTATAATAAAACTTATAGCTACATGTACCAGTGTGAAGCATATGTATAAAACCTACAACTTTAACATTAATTACATTTATAAAACCTGTACATTTGTAGACGCTATGGCGAGCAGTAATAGGGATAGAATATAGATTTGTCAAATACATGTATATAACATCTTTTTATTGCAGGGACACTGTACATGTACTTTCAAAAAATATAGTACAGTCAAAACAAGTTTTGAGGAAAAATTACTTAGTATATTTTATTGATGTGTAACTATAAACTAGTTTGCCCCAGTTTATGGAATTATCCAATTATTAGGGGGGGGGGGTGTGGATGACTGAATGGTTAGCGTGCGCGCTGTATCATGAAGTCTGTCATTGAGTCGACTGGCTTGGTTTCGAATCCCCGGTTGTACTTGACAAGGAGTAGGGTTGCCTGTCCAACCTCGTGGGTTTTCTCCAGGTCCTCCGGTTTCCTCCCACTGCTAAAGACCCCTATGTGCAAGCGAATTATTGAAATAAAATTAAACCATACATGTATGTTACTCCTGAAATGATCTAGTTTGTGTTGAGTGGACGTTAAACCCCATCATTAAGAAATAACACCTGTCTTACATATAAAGGTATATATCGATAGTGACAAACACCTGTAGGATATTACCCTATATCTTCATCCTTCATAATTAATTGATATGTTCTAAAATCTGAAATGGGATGTTTTATTTTAAGTTTATTACATTTTTAAAAATTTTCAGTGATAGTGAAATGTCACCAGTATCAACTGAAGAAGTACATCGACGTCCTGTTCAAACCTATCCAGGGTGTTTTGGCCTGCCATATCAGGTAAATAAACCTTTTTAGTTCAAATAACGCAAAAAATAATTTTTAACTGGATACGGTTTTTACTGTTCTCAGTATAATGTATATTGCCATCATCCAGGTCTATCCATCCATTTCTTGTTAGCACATAAAAGACTACAACAGTCCATATGTCTTTTTGAAATTGATGCAAGTTGTCTATCTTATTGAAATAATGAAGCCCAACATTATCCCTTCCAGAGTTATTCCCCTTGTACGAATGTTGGCTCTTTAAAGGCTGCAATTATTTACATGTACCCATCTTTGTAAAATTTACGTTGTATGTATGTATTAATGAAAGAAAGAACTCTAGTATATGTAAATGTATTTCTAAATTATTTCAGGATCATAACTATGGAGCTCCACCTCCGGTCACCCCACCCCCCTCACCTCCACCCATTAAAATCAATGGACACATAGAACTAATAGATGATCTGTCGAAACCTACAGTAATAGCCAAAGAAGAGATAGTTGATGACAGCATAACACGCTGTATTTGTGAGTTTCAGCACGATGATGGTTATATGATTTGCTGTGATCGCTGCAGGTATGTTAAAAACAACGCTTGCTTGAACAAAATTGTTATTAATAAATAAGGTTATGCTTGTGGCATATTTAGCTCTCCACTTATCACTAGACAAAAACACAGTTTTTAAGGAGTCGAAAAATTCTCGTAAAACGTAATCATGTATCATGTCAGTAACCATGTCTGTGCAGCTGCTTAAAAATAAATTTAACTTTTGAATTTATCACAGTATTTTTTGGACCATATTTAATTTTTCGTGACTTAATCCATGCTAAATTGTGATGAAATTGATTATTAAACATTTTATTAAGAAATTAAAACTAAAATTCCTGTAGTAGATAATCTCATAGCTTCGACTCCATGAGATTAAAAAGAGGCTTGTCAAAAGATTTTAGCCAGCACTTTGTATTATTACATCAGCTGCAGAGGATGACAAATTTAGCAAAAAAAATTATTTCATAATAATAATAATTTATATAGCGTTGACAATTCAACTCCCGAAGCTACTCTAGGGCGCTTTACTTAAGCACAACTAATATAAAATTACAACAATTACAACACATTAATCCATAAAGAAGACCTTTTACCTTTGTAAATAGTGAAAGGAATTGAACTATACTATTCAAAAAAAGTAGGGGATATTTGATTTTTAAGTGTTATTAAAGTCACCTAATGAAACTGACGAAGAAACAAATGACAAAATGAAATGAAGTTCACATTCATCGATTTATTCCAAATGATCGTTAGACTAAGTAAGGCACAGACTGACCATTATAAGGGTAAAATGATACCCGGGGTCAAACAGCAAAGTTACCACAGCATCACAACCAAGTCAGTAACAGGTAAATCCTCCTCTGTTTGCCAAACAAGCATTGATCCGACGTGGCATACTCCTAATGAGACGTCTAAGGTCATTTTGGTCCAGATTGTCCCATTCCTGTTGCAACGCAGCAGCAAGTTCTTGGACATTGGCAGGACGTTGTTGACGTTGACGTAACCTCTGTCCAAGCATGTCCCAGACATGCTCGATGGGGGAGAGGTCGGGACTCAGTGCTGGCCAAGGTAATGTGGTGATGTTCTGTTGTTGGAGGTAACCTGTAACGATCCTGGCCCTGTGACATCTTGCGTTGTCATCCTGGAAGATGAAACGGCGGCCATGACATGGACTGCCAAGATGTTGTCCCGGTAGTACTGGCCTGTAACACGCCCTGCAACAACATGTAAAGCCGTTCTTCCAGCAACAGTGATGCCTCCCCACACCATAACAGAACCACCCCCAAATCGATCATGTCTGATGACGTTAACGTCTTGGAAGTGCTCGTTTCGACGACGCCACACCCTCCTACGTCTGTCCAAAAAATCAACAGTGAACCTTGACTCATCTGAAAACATCACATTGCTCCAGCGTCGATTATCCCAGTGTTGACGATCCCTACACCAACGACGTCTTGCCTGAATGTGATGATCTCTCAAACAAGGGATCACGCGAAGACGTCGGGCGCGAAGGTGACCCCTATGCAGTCGATTCCGAATCGTCTGGCCACTCACTCTCACACCAGTGTCTGTTTGACGACGAGCGCTGATCTGATTTGCTGTGATGACACGATTTCTCATGGCCAAGGTACGGATAAATCGATCCTGGGCTTGAGTTGTCGCCCTTGGTCGACCTGAGCGTGGTCTGTCCTGTACAGATTGTGTATCACGGTATCTGGACCATAGCCTGCTTATGACAGACTGAGAAACATTCATCGTCCGCGCCACAACCGCCTGTGTTGTGCCGATCTGTAGCATGCCAAGGGCACGTAACCTTTCATTTTGGGTAAGCCGACGCATATCAAAATTTGTTTTCTGGTCACTAAAACAATTAAACTGATGTTTCCACCCTGGAATTCAATGCCACAATGACTGTAACATTCAAAGTCAGAGTCGTGCAAATCTTGGGTTGGACCCCCATGATGATCCCAAGCATCACCTGCATTCCATGCGGTAGCTATTGGTGCGTTTGGGCGTCACATGTAACTGGAAATGTTTCTTCTGTTAGGTTCTATAGTGACTTTTTTCGTAGTCATTTGCATATTTTAGTATTATGCCCCCAAAATCAAATATCCCCTACTTTTTTTGAATAGTATATTTTGGGACTGATATTCCTTTACAGATTGAAGTTTTGATGTAGTTTAATAGAAAGATATATGAAGGAGAGAGGTCATATAGGCTATGCCTGTTCTCAATCCCTTTCAATTTCTGAATAAAATATTGTTTTAAAAAAAAAAAGAAAAGATATATGAAGAGTACATATTGTAGGTTTATATTATCCACTTGTTATTATAGTGTATGGCAGCATATAGATTGTATGGGCATAGACAGAAATAGTATACCAGACAGTTATTTTTGTGAGCGTTGTCAGATTCGACCAGTTGATGCTGAAAGAGCGAAAATCATTCAAGCTAGGAAAAAAGAAGAAATAGCTAACCTTGGTAAGACTTGTCAGTACTAAAACCAAATAATAAGATAAAGCAATTACAGCAATTGTAATTTTCATAAAAGAATATTGAAAAGTATATTATCAAAATGCCCGAGAGGCTGGTGCATAGTTGTTCGGATGGAACAAAAAAAAACACCCATGACAGATGGAAATCAATGAAATAAAGACAGAAACATAGCTGCCCAGAGCGAAAATCCTGCCACATGTACACGTACTTTGTGTGGAGCTACGGTGGCTCAGTGAGTAAGGGGTGTTGGCTGATCCGAATTGCGGCCGAGAAAGCTTCTAGGGATTTCCCAGTCTGATGTTTGGAAGGCGATGGGGCGTGCACATAAAAGATCCCTTGGCAGTTGGAATTCGATATAAGAGTAGGCCGTAGCGCCGCTGCCCGTGCAAAATTTCCCTCATAGCACACTGTATGGCATATGCCTGTCTTCATTAGCCCAGTTTAGCAGCAGAACAGTAGGACGTTAAACCCCATTTCATTTCATTATCTCAAATGCAGAATAGTGCCATTAAACCTATTTCATTTCGTTTATATCATTGTATTTGTAGATACTAGTGCTACTGATACCGATCCAGAAGAGGTAGCTAATCGTCTAGCAGCTCTCAATAAGAAATCTCCAGCCACCAAAAAAGTTAGCAAACAGCGACGCAATTCAAAGCTTAAAGAAAAACTTTCCACAAAGAAAACATTGAAAGAAAAGAAGGGTTTGAAGAAGGAAAAAGAAAATTTGAAGGATGGAAATTTAAAAGTAAAATTTAAGGTTAATATTGTTTGCTCTTCTTAGTTTAAAATATGCACAGAAACTATTAGATTGTATACAAGCGATCTTTGTTATTAATAGTTGTTGCTAAGGAAATTGGTGTCTTTTGGCAATCTTTGTTGTTGCTAAGGAAATTGATCTGTTTTGACAAGATAATGTTAATAAAAGATGTTATTCTGTCCAGGATTAGATTTCTGCCCTTTTGATCAAGTCTATGAAAGAAAAGACAAAAAATCTGATCAAATTAACATTTCCATTGTCTGGAGGCTACTCTAAAGAAACTATTTGCATGCTAATTTATCATATGAAACGGCAAGTTATTTTGATCAAAATATATTGTTTCTATTTTCAGACGGAGAAAGATGGCACGCAGAAACCTGTTAAACCTAAAGTAAGATTCTGTTTTTAAAACTTTGTAAATTGATAGAAGACGCAGAATAACTGCGGCAACTGTTACAGGTTAATGTTTGATATGATCCCTCATATATCTTGATGAAAAATAAAATATTTTAGATGTGTTAATACTTCAGTTCTTTTTCTATAAAACAGCAGACATCAAATTTACATGTCTTGTCTTATGTCAGGTTTTTTGGTGATTGTATATATGTAATTTACAAGTCAAAAACTAAAAACTTTTATGTCTATTTCTTTCGTAGAATCGTCGCACTTCCCAAACAGTATGTAAAGTGAATGGTGAGAGTGTAATTAAGTCTGAAAGGTAAGTTCTATGTACAATGATTAGTCCAGCTGTATGGAATACTATTACTGTCTATAACTGAGTGACGTTTCGACAAGTATTATATAGTTTTTATTAATCAATGATATTATATAGGAAAGCATTGGATAAACAAAATATTTCTACATAATAAATATATAAAAAAGAAATGGACTATATTTTAGAACTGTTTACATGGACACCCTTGGAATACAATTACTGTTAATATATTTAGTCTTAATCTACCAAGAGTAGCTCAGTAAGAGAGAGAGAGATTTTAATGTCCACTCCACACAAACCAGATCTTTCAGAACTGACATATGGTTCAATTTTATTTCAATAATTCGCTTGCACGTAGCGGTCTGTAACAGTGGGAGGAAACCGGAGGACCTGGAGAAAACCCACGCCAGTTGACTCAATGACAGGCCATGTGATACAGTGTGCATACACTAACCATTCGGCCATCCCCCCCCCCCCCCCCCCCAGCAAGTTAAACAGTAATTGTATTCCATAGGATTTCATGTTCCATTTACTAAAGGCTGTTGACACAGCTTATAACTGTTGTGAAATCTATTCAACCTTGAGCGAATATATTTAACTCACGATGTTTATTAATTTATGTTTTTTAGTACCGAAAAATTTGAAGATGCCAAAGAGAACCAATATAGTCGTGATGTACAAGAACTTTTTTCTAAATCTAACGTCAATGGAATTCATGTAAGTTTAGCAAGAAAGTTTTCTGAAGAGTTTTACAAGTTGTCTCACTAAAAATATCAAAAAATTATACCAACGATCGAGGCTAGCCTAAAATTGAATAACTAATAATATCTCGGTTCAGAGTGAAGCAATATGACTGAAATTTTCAGCATATTCTGTTTTCATTATCTTTTTGTTAATGATAATAGCAAGAACTGTCATTTCTTTATTTAATCTTACCTAATGCACTGTTAATGATGTTCAATGATTTATTTTTTTTTAGCTGGATGATTTACACTCTGATAGTGATAGATTGTTAGATCAACTATGGTGTTTAGGTCAGAGTAAAAATCATGTGATAATAGAAGCTAAAGAGAATATTTTACCTGGGCTAGCTGTCCTAGAATATAAAGGAAAAGTTATGTTACGACAACATTTTGTAGAAAATAATTTATTTTTCAAAAAGTAAGGATATTCTTTAGTTCTTTTTAATACATCTATGGGGTACTCGATTGAACATTCCGGAATTTAATTCTCTCAATCCCCAAAATGGTGACAATCGAGTGAAAAGGGGTATTTGGGACTAGGACGCATGCGTCGACTGGATAAGTAAATATCTCAACGAACCATGCACAAATTATGTCAGGATTCTACTCACAATACGTCCGTAGTCAGGACTGACAGGACTGAATTCTGCGTCACTTGATTGTTTTTTATTAAGTATAATGATGTTTTAATTTGTTTTTTTACAGAGCCCACCCTCATGTTTTGTTCTATTCTAAGTTTGAAGATATAGATCTTTGTATTGATTCTAGTTGCTATGGTAATAAAGCTAGATATATTCGTAGATCCTGCTCTCCTAATGCCGAGGTAAATATTTTTCTATTAACTGCTCTATAATTATATTTTCTCAAGTATGTTAGTGGTACAGACATATGATAAAGCATATCTTTTATTAGTTAGGGGTTGAGGTGTAGGGTCGCCTTCTTGACCATGTAGGAGATTCTCTCATTAAAACTCTTTGTGTAAAGACGATTTATTAAAATAAAAATGTACGATTATAAGTCCTGAAATGATCTATTTTGTGTTGACTGGAAATTAAACAGTGTTTTTGTCTTTTTTATGAAAGAAATGAGTACTGATAACAAAAACATAAATGAGTTTAGACTTTATTTAGTTATTTTGTTTTTGTATAGGTTCGACACTTAGTGGAACATGGTAGAATACATTTTGTGATTTTCTCTAAGAAAGAAATTGAAAAGGGAGAAGAGATAACAATACCCTTCGACTTTAATTATCAAGAATGGTAAGTATAAGATATCTAGAAGATTGAAAACAAATTCTCTTGTGGCTCAGTGGGCGTGGTACTAGCCCACTAACCATGAGGTCCCAGGATAACCTTGGCTGTTGGCCGAGAAAACTTTTCCCATTTTTTTGGGGAGCAAAATGTGTCTAGATGGGCGGATTGAATGAAAACTTGTTGTACTTGTTTGCGTGTACGAAACAGAAAAACTGTAGATTTGGAATTCGCTGAACACTAGACGGAAATGTGCAAACCTGGCAAAATTTTCCTTATAGCACAATACGGAGTTGATGCTGGAAAGTATGACTTTAAACCCCATTTCATTCATTCCCTTGACCCTTTCATTGTCAAATGTTGCTTTTATTTATTAGGAACATCAAGTTGAAAGGTAGAGAAATATTTTCTAATCGAGGTGGCTTTTAATTAAACATCATTAGCCATAGAATATTGGAAATACATAGAAATAAAATAAATTTTTTTACATATACTTTTATTGATTGAGAAATCGTATTATATTTGGTTTGGGTATTATTACAATCCTTTGCCTGACTCTACAGCCTTTGAGTTGTAGATGAGGGGATATTCCTATGCGATTATCCAAACCTCCAACCTGGACCATACCCAATCGAACATCAATATATCGCTATTACTCATCTCGATTATCGTTGATAAATAATAGACAGGATTGATTAGGTAATTATGTGATCAACTCATTCAAGGTGTTAAACACCTACCTCAATTGATTAACTACTTAATCTACCTTGATAGACTTCATTAATCTACATGATTTTCTTTAAATCATTCTCACACACTATACCACTTCAAAATCGTTAACATTTACAAAAAGAATTCACACTCTGTGAAACAGTTTTAAGACATATTTTTTTTACTTCTTATTAACATTAAATGTATTTGTGTCTTATGATACATGTAGATTTAAATGCTCCCCCAAAAACTTAAAAATTATTATTATTATTATTATTATTATATTACAGTTTGTTTTGTGTTGAATGTGCTTGTCTTAGAAATGTTTGCACTGTCTCAAAATTTTGGAAAAAGGTTTCAAAGAATGCTCAAAATAAGTAAGTATCTTTCCTGTTCATTGTAGTCATTGATTTTGTCTAGATATTTGATATTAACACCCGACCTTCAGTAGTCCAGTTGGTGCAGAAAAAAGGACATTAATCTCCATTTTATTTCATTTCTGATATAAAACACATTGATAAAATCTCTCAAATGACATTGCTTTTGTTTCTTAACTTTTTCTTGAAATGGCGAAATTGAGCTGATTGACCATCATAATTTTCTCGGGGCTCTCCTGTTACCAAACAAAAATTTTAAAAATATTTTTAATAAAATCTCTCAAATGATAATGCTTTTATTCCTTAACTTTTTCTTGAAATGTCGAAATTGAGCTGATAGACCATCATAATTTTCTCGAGGCTGTTGTGTTATAAAACGAAAAGTTTAAAAATGTACATTAGATGAGGTTTAAGATTCTGTGAGTCACTCTTTATTTATTTAAACTGTATTATTTCAGAGGTGTAAAGAAAACAAGGTTAAAAAGACCCAGTGGTAATAGTCCAGCAAAAACAGAACTTAGTCCATTGAAGAGTGAAATATTGAAAATCAAGGAGTCTATCCCCCAATCTCCGCCTAAAGTAACAAAGAAAGCCGTACACGTAGAAACTACAACAATTAAACAAGAGGTAGATAGTCTTGTAATATATTTTATTGAATTATCACTATCGATACAAAAGATATAAAATATTCATATATACAGTTACATACGTGTACATGCTAGCAGATGTCATCTTGTGTTGTATAAATAGTAATGGCTAATAATCAGAAACTTAGAAGAAAAAATGACAATGTTTCTTTTTAAAAAACACTTATATGGATATACTACTTCTGAATTTATTAACATGCTATGGTTCGATACACATACAGGATTACAATATCTGTATGTGTATCGAAACGAAGCATGTTAATAAATTCAGAAGTAGTATATCCATATAACTTAGTGTTTTTTAATTTGTGAAATCTACTTCTATATATCTTATAAAGAAAATGTTTCTTTTGAATATAAAGTTCCAATAACAGTGTACTATTATCAAATTTTGTTTTCTAGCCTAAATTTTGATTTGACTTGTACTATAATTAAATTTTATTTTGTTTTCTAGCCTAAAGTTATCCCTGAGAAAGCACCTGTTGTAGCTCCCCCACCTGTTACTGCTCCTACTCCTACCCCTGCCACCACCACTGCCACTACTACAACAACTACTACAACTAGAGTTAAACATGAATCTGGTTCAGATAGTCATCATGCTCCACACAATTCTACAACCCCTGAAACAAATTCTCCAGAAAAACACGATCTTGATGAAAATGATCATAAATTAGTAAGTATTAGATTCACTCTTCTCTGTAAGATTCCATTTATACTATCAAAGTCCTTCACTCCATATAGATTTTATCAATTTGGGAGGGAGGTCCCTTGAAGGCTTGGGTAATTTGAATTGAATGACGTAGACTATTAACCTATTCTGCTCCCATAATCCATTGTACACTTCACATAAAGCTGATCGAAACAGACCATTTCATTGACTAATTTCTTACATCCAGGAAAAGAATGATAGAATGAAATTTGAACTTTTTGAAAGTAAGCAAAATGGATCTGTATTTTAATCAGATGAAATGATTTTAAAAATTTAACTGATTTAATATTTTTTTGTAGACAAGAGAAGAAAGGAAAATGAATGCTATTATGAAAGCCTTTGAAAAGTTAGAAAAGCGTGAAGAAAGGAGAAAAGAAGCACTTGCTCGTATTGATGGGCATAGAAAGAGTCAGGAGGAGCCTAAGAAAGTTATTCCAGAGGTTAAAACTTCATCAGAAGATGACTCCAAGGTACGTTATTATTTGGAAATGTTGGCCATGATTGGAAAGCTATAATTGATTGTCTTATACAGATAAAATTCTTGACCATGTTAGAGAGAGAGAGATATGGGATTTAAGGTCCACTCGACACAAACTAGGTCATTTCGGGACTAACATTTGGTTCAGTTTTATTTCAATAATTTGCTTGCGCGTAGGGGATCTTTAGCAGTGGGAGGAAACCTGAGGACTCAGAGAAAACCCACGAGGTTGGACAGGCGACCCTACTCCTTGTCACGTACAACTGGGGAATCGAAACCACGCCAATTGACTCAATGACAGACCGTATGATACAGTGCGCATGAGCTAACCATTCAGCCATCCAACCCCCCCACCATGTTACAGAGAAAGGGTAATTCCGAGGCAAAGATGTCTGATCTGGATATTAAGTCCATGGATTGATTTTATTACTCTTCTCTATTTCTATGATTGAATATTTTTTCAGGCTGGCAGTGAAGAAACCACTTCAGATGCCAAAGAAGAACAGCCGAAGCCAGAAACACCTGTAAAAACTCAACGCAAAGGAAGAAAAAGACCTCTACGCAGGTGAGAATCATTAATCAATTTATCACAAAACAAGATAATAATAAGCAGTAATTTTATTCCATAGAATTGTCCTGGGTATTTTCAGTTCAATTACTAAAGACTATTGAAACAACTTACCTCAAACAATGTAAAATCAGTGATTGTAAAATGGAGTTACGCTTTAAGTTACATTGTAATATACTTTGATGTCATTGCTTCATTTGACAAAGATGCTAGTGAGCGTATATTCGTTGCCTGGCAACCTATCTTGTTGACAGTCATTAATTGTTTTACTATGTGATCTTATTGTAGAAGGAGTCGTGTGAACAGTACAAGTGCCGCTGAATCAATAGTGTCTAATGATGAAAGCAGTAATTCCGCTGTAACAGCAATTACACAAAACAGTGCTCCCTTACCCCAAACTATGAGTGCTGATATCTCCGCTTCTAATTCTTCTGGTTTCAAATTTATTAAAACTAAAAAGGTACGTTTTTTTTTTTTACGGTTATACCACAATCTGATTAAAATACAGGTTTATATTTCGTTTCGGTTTTTACACTTTCGATGGCCTACACTACATGACGATCTTAATAGTTGTAGTGGGAGGTCGCATCAGGGGTTACAGGGGCGTTGATGTTTCTAGTGGGTTCCGTTTGCCTTAACAGACCATTCCATTGGCTAATCTCTAACATCATCCAGTACGCAGGTTATATAACATCCCTTCCAGATCCTAGTCCAGTAAAGATAAGTAAAGCGAAATTTTGAACTATAAAAACGAAAAGAAATAGGATCTGTGTTTTAATCAGATTGGTTGTTCCATGATTGTACATGACAAGGATAACTATTCCCCTATGTACAAAATGTTACCTTATAACTTTTATTAGAGTTTATTTATTTGAACAATTTTTGTACCAATATTATTTTGGCAAGACTACATTTTATTGTGCACGCTGTATCATAAAGTCTGTCATTGAGTCAACTGGGGTGGTTTTGATTCCCGGGATGTACAGTGACAAGGAGTAGGGTCGCCTGTCCAATCTCGTGGTTTTTCTCCAGGTCCTCCGGTTTCCTCCCACTGCTAAAGACACCTACGCACAAGCGAATTATAGAAATAAAATTGAACATGTGTTATTGAAATGACCTAGTTTGTGTCCCATCGACATTAAATTCTCTCTCTCTCTCTCTCTTTCTCTCTCTCTCGCTCTCTCTCATTTTATTGTCTATATTCTCATTGCATTGCCATTTCATATTTGCTGTTTATTCTGGGGGGTTGGATGGCCGAATGGTTAGTGCGTGTGCGTTGTATCATAAGATCTGTCATTGACTCAACTGGTAGGGTCGCCTTCCAACCTCATGGGTTTTCTCTGAATCCTCCAGTTTCCTCCCACTGTTAAAGACCCCTATTAGCAAATTATTGAAATAAAACTGAACCATATGTTAGTCCCGAGTTGACCTAGTTTGTGTGGATTGGATGTGAAACCCCATCTCTCTCTCTCTCTCTCTCTCTGCTGTTTATTCTAGCACATTCATTGTCTCTTTCATATTTGAATGTATCAATCATATTGGTTTCATTTATATTTTTTTTATAGCATCTTTTTAATGAATGGCTGACTGAGAAAAGCAATGATGGTAAACCTGCAGCAGTTCCTCCTCCTCCTCCTCCTCCTTTAGAGGTTAAAGTTGATGAAACAATATTTGTACCTTGTCTACCAAGTCCTAGGAATGCCATGGAACATCTTCAAAGACGCAATTCGCAGAGTTCAGGATCCGGGCGACCTGGTGCTGAATCAAGTCGAGGTTCAGCTAAGAAGGTAGATTTACATTTTGTTTTTGGATACAACTTGCTGATCCAGGTCGTGCATTTTTCAAACATGGGATTATACTCTGGATCAAATTGATTAATCACCTTTAATTAAAAATACATTATGGGAGATTAGATAAAGAGCTGGCAGTTCTCACTATAATAGTTAAAAACTAGATACTGTAAAGGCAATTTGCTGAAAATTTCAGTCAAATTGATCCACTATGAACAGAGATTTTAATGATTGAATTTTCGGCCTAGCCGTGGTCATCATTACTAAAGTCGGTAGGATAAAAAACATAGTCTCGATTATCCATTTTATGATTTAATTATAAATGGAAGTCGAATAGCAAATCGGAACTTAATCCAATACACATCGCAGGCTAGCGATGCCATCGATAGTTGATTATGGTCTGGATAAGTTTATTAATGTCTAATTAATAATTTAGATAACATTTCAGGCCTAAAAAAAAAGACCTGCGATAGGCAGATTTAGCTCTTGCATAATGTATGTTTGAATAAAACAAAACAAACTCCAAATACATGTATCAACAGTAAATATTCTCTTGGTTGTAATCCATCAAATTTTAATCAACAGTTACTGGTGGCACTCGCAGATTTTATTTATATCATCTGCGAGGGGTGGCGAATGTTCAATTTATCATATATCGTTTTTCACGGCATTATGCATGCGATTATACTCTGGATCAAATTGATTAATCACTTTTAATTTAAAGAAAACGAAATCCAAATACCAACAGTAAAAATTCTCCCTGTTGGAATCCATCAAATTATAAAAAGGACCATCAAAAGATTTTACTCGACAGTTACTGGTGGTAGTCGCTGGTTTGTTTATATCGTCCACAATAAAGAAAAAAACCCATGATATTCAAAAATTATATTCTATATAAATGAAGGCAGTGGATTGAGTTGGTATATGTGTAATTCTCTTGATCTCTTACAGCGTTGGTTAAGACAAGCCATGCATGAAGTTCCACCATCTTGTGATAGTGGTTCAGCTTCTCCAGTACATGGATGTACCAGCCCTAGTCCTGGTATGTGTAGTCCGACACCAGGTACAACTCCAGCTATTGGTAGTCCTCTACATAGTGTAACGAGTCCAGGTTCTTCACCACCTATAGGTATTATATCCTTTGAAATTTTGAAAAATAGTTGTATATTTAAAGATGCATAGTGTAAGATTTAGATAAAGGGTTTAACGTCCTGTTCTGCTCCGAACTGATCTAATGAAGACGGGCATACGCCATACAGTGTGCTATGAAGGAAATTTTGCCTGCCAAGGGATCTTTTTCGTGCACGGCAATGTGTACTCAGGACTTTGGTTTTTCATCCCTTCTAATGACTAGACAGCTGTCCTTGTCAGGCCTTCGGTCCTGCACCACTGACAAGGGGAAACCATGCAGGAAAATCCTGATGAACTTTCTCGGGCCAACACTGGGAGCGAATAATAAGTATAGGATGTAGGGTCATTATCCTTCTTCATTAGCCCTGTGGGAGCTGAAAAGATAGGAATTAAACAGCATTTCATATCATTATAGGATTATTTTATACTGATTGACAGTGAATGTCAATGAGAATTTACTTGAACATTGTTTGAACCTTGATACTACTTATTAAATAAGGGGATTGGGTGGCCTAATGGTTAGCATGTGGCCTAAGGTCTGTCTTTAAGTCATCTGGCATGGTTTCGATTATCCGGTTGTACGTGACAACCTCGTGGGTTTTCTCTGGGTCCTCTGGTTTCCTCCCACTACAAAAGACCCCTACGCGCTGCAAATTATTGAAATTTAATTGAATGATTGTGTTAGTCCCGAAATGACCTAGTTTGTGTCGAGTGGACTTAAACCCAATTTTTTCTCGCTTTCTCTTTATCACTTATTAAATTTGATATTCATGAAATAAATTTTCAATAACTTACTCTTTCAGATTTTGTTACTCCTTTAAAAAAGCGTCGACTAGCGAGAGAATCTTTGTCACAAGACGCACCAGTAATATCAACTCCGTCCACAACTTCTCCTTCTGTTGGTCAGTCAACTGAGCCAGAATGTCAGCCTGATTCAACAAAACGGGAGACCATTGATATTGAAGAATTACAGGGGAAAAATGGCTTCCGACCTGTCCTTCCTACTCTAGATGATGATCAACCTCAGTCTGTAAGTTTATGTTTGTTTTACAGGATTGAATCCCCGGTTGTACGTTTCAAGGAGTAGGGTCCCCTGTCCATCCTCGTGGGTTTTCTCTGGGTTCTCCGGTTTCCTCCCACTGCTAAAGACCCCTATGCGCAAGCGAAATATTGAAATCAAATTAAACCATATGTTACTCCCGAAATGACCTAGTTTGTTGTGTTGAGTGGACATTAAAACCCATTTATCTCTGGCAATGGACAACGCAATCTGATTAAAACACAGATCCTATTTCGTTTGGTTTTTTTATAGTTCAAAATTTTGTTTTACTTGTCTTTACTACACTAGGATCTGGAAGAGTTGTTATCATTGACGTGTTCTGGATGATGTGACGGTGTAGGCAATGAAACGGTCTGTTACAGCGAGCTTTTAGCGTGTGGTGCACGGAACTGTGGGTAATCCACTATAAACATCAGTACCGATTGGTTAATCAAATGTCTGACATCATAGGGTCAAAAACCACTCGTATGACCTCTGATTGATATTGTTTTTAGAGATTCAACTTTCCCAATAATATTGTAGATTACAATTCCTCAACTGACGATCAGAGCATTAAATTGAATTGATTTTAATTTCAGAATGTTTCAAAGTGCTATAAAACAGATTCAGAAGATTTAGAGAATGAGAAAGAGACTCTTGTGCCTCCAATAATGCGACTTTCTATGGAAACGGACATTTTAAGTGAAAGTGCTGAAAACAGTCATTTATCCGATGTGTTTAGTTCGGATAGTAACAGTGCTCTAAATATAACAACAGATTCAGGTGTTGAAACAGATACAAATAATAAAACAAACATACAAACAATACCGGAAAAAATGGAAGAAGATTCAGACAATGTGATTGCTGAAAGTGAAGAATTGATTTCCAGTTCGGTTAAAATTAATCTCGATACGCAGGATAATGATTTAAAAACTACTTCAAATAAAATCATTTCATTGCAAGTTCAAGAACAAAGTTCTTCTTCTTCGTCTCCGTCAGTGGATGTAGGGGATGAAATAAATTCAAAAATATTAACTAACAGTGATGACGTTAGATCTAAAGAAACTCTTCAAGAGCCAGTTAGTAATTCTACAGTTACGAGTTGTTCGGATAAGTTAAATAATTCTGTCGAGAGTATGGAAGTTTCTTTTGATTCAAAATCAGACGATCAACCAATTGAAAATAGGGAAACAGAATCTTTAAGTAAAGTATTAACAGTAAATACTGAAGAAAGTGTCAATAGTTCAGAGGTTACGACCTCATGTTCTGTTATGGTTCATCTGGAGAAAGAAACTGACCATGTGAACATTGTTGAAAGTTCGGATAACTCTCGAGACTTAGAATCAACTGCCATAGTAAACAGTAATGAATTAAAAACTCCTCTGTTAAGTAACATGGACAAAGTAGAAAGTTTTGGTTTCGTTCCACAGTTAACTGACAAACTCGCGATTTTAGATTCTAGTGAATGTAGTAACTTAACTCAATCTGATTGGTCAGTTTGTGATAGTACCAGTGAACATGCGTTATCATTAACTTCTGATAGTACAGTTTCGTCAACGATATCATCCGAATTATCATCTGAGCATGTCACGCCATCTAACACTACACAACCTCATGTCATAGTTCCTGGTCTACTGTCGTCCAGTGAAGATGTGTCTGGGTTAACCAGTGGTGAATCGCCAACAGAAAATACGAACTTACCTCAGTTATCCGCATCATCTAACATAGCTGAACAACCATGTAAAAAGAAGGTAGGCTATTCGTCTTTTGGGTAGGGTAATCGAGGCGTGTTTAGAACATAATGTTTGTCATCAGGTTAAAGTTGTGGTTTGTATCCCAGGCTTGTATAGGTTCCTTCTCACTGCAATGGTTATCTGCATACAGTTGACATTGACATGATGATATACCGTATGTTAGTCTCAATATGTCCTGTGTTGTGTTGCAAGTGTTGAATGGACATAAAGTCTCTTTCCTTTAGAATATTGGGGAGTTGGGTGGCAGAATGGACATAAAGTCTCTTTCCTTTAGAATATTGGGGAGTTGGGTGGCAGAATGGTTAACGTGTCTGCGTTGCATCGTAATGTCTGTCATTGAGTCAGTTGGGTTGGTTTTGGTTTCCAAGTCCTCTGGTTTCCTCCCACTGCTAACGGTCCTTAAACGCAAGTGAATTATTGTAATAAATGACCTAGTTTGACGTTAAACCCCATTTCTCTCTATCTCTCGCTCCTTCAGAATATTCACATACAATTTACATTGTATATTGATATGGTTTCCAATTTGAACTTCAATGATCCTTGATGGGATCTTTTAAAAAAATTTAAATGTCTGACATAAAAAGGTTTTCATGAAGAAGAAAGGAACAATGATTATATATCAACTTATTTATCTCTGATATATTGTTTAAATAAATAATATAATATTTGATGCTTGTTATTATTATAGGTGAGTTTGTTGGAATACAGAAAGAGATTAAAGACCAAAGTGAAAGAACCTGTCAAAAATCAATCATCTTTACCAAACAATGTTCATCGTATCCCTACTCGTGTATCGGGTACAGGCTCTTTAACACACATACGTAGTCGTCCACTATCACTGCCATCATTACCGCTATTCGTAGATAAAAACAGTAAAAAAAATGGTAAGCACCATACTCTCAATAATTGTATTCATTTCTGTCAATTGTCTTTTACCTGTGAAATTTGATGAATTTATGAAAAGATTGTTCAAGTATGAAAATAAGGCTCAGAATGGTTAGCACGTGCGCTTGGTCTCTTAAGGTCTGTCATTGACTCAACTGGCGGGGTGTCGATTCCCTGTTTGTACGTGACAAGGAGTAGGATCGCCAGTCCAACCTCGTGGGTTTTCTCTGGATCCTCCGGTTTCCTCCCACTGATAAAGACCCCTACATCCAAGCGAATTATTGAAATAAAATTGAACCATATGTTAGTCCCGATATGACCTAGTTAGTCCCTAATGTAAATAAAGCATATAGTTGGAGCCAAATTGAATCCAACATGGCCGTCGCTACATATTACCATAACCCCAACCCCTAACCCTAAGAATAGACTTACTAATAATACTAATATGTGACAGCCATGTTGGGACTTAACTTGGGTCCAATTTACCTTTAACCAGAAGCATATATTAAAGTTATTGTCTGAGTAAACTGTTGAGGAAACATTACTAAATAATAAAATGTGTATTAAATATATTTAAATATATATGAGTAAACTATTATTAAATATATTTAAAGGAATCACTTGTAGGTAAAAATGCTTTATATTTTTGTGTATTGATAACTTTGTAGAAGTGAAACAGAAGAAGAGTTGGCATGGGTTAAGTCTAACAGAAAGATTAAGACAAGAATTTGGTGTTGAAGCCAGTGAGGAGGAAAATAAATCTGGTAGGTGGTTTAATCTTACATATTAATAATTTATACATTTATAAACAAGCCTGGACATAAAACAACAGTCAATAGACATTGTCTCATATTATCATGTAACATATTATATATATAACAAGCCTGGACAAAAAGCACCTATTGTGTGATAAATTCAGTCATTGTTTTCTTTTTTTTTTTTAGGTGAGTATCGCTCATGGGGGCTTTATTTTCATTTATGAATTCAGGAATGACCCCCTAACATGCTGTTATTGATCTTCAGAACCATTTCCCATACATACAACTAATCACTCTCCTTAATATCAGATCACTCTCCTTAATTTCTAAATCACTCTTCTTATCGAAACTGGGAGAGATTTTCTAGGGGAGCGATTTTTTCAATTTGTTGATTAAGGGGAGCTTTTTCCAGCTCTCCTCTAAAATACAAACAACAACGACTGTAATTTGTGTCTTAGAATCTCTGTGACAGGTGCGTTATGTCCACGCTTGTATATAAATGTTGTGCAATAATTTGTGCCTGAGAATGTCTATGACAGGTGCCATATGTCCAAGATTGTTCTATTTATCACATAGATGTTTATCTTACATGTTCATTATTCATGGTTTTTACAACAATCGATAGACTTTTTGGATATTTTAAAATGCGGGCTTACTCAACATTTAAAGCTATTAATACTGAAATAATGGCAAAGAATTAACATATAAAATTGGACTATTTATTTAACACTCGCTTCCTAGTTAACCCTTAACTGGTCGACGTCATTTTGAAGTTCTGACGTCAAGTGGTCAGGCTAAATAAAGGCTGACGTGAAATATTTTGTACGCCTATTTCAATCGACTACTGCCGAATAATTATAAGTGATAGACTCTTGACACCAATAAAAAAGTTGCTGGGGATAAGTTGATGTATAATTTGCAAATCATTCTAAATCCTTTTCATTCGAAATATCGTCTTCAGAATCGGTGTCATCGATATAATCCAATTCGGAATAATTCATAAGTATTTCAACCACTTCGAGCGTCTTTAACGTTCCTGACACCGTTAAATTACGTTTTTCGTCAAAAAATGTTGAACAAAGACATGGTTTTCTCAATGCCCTTGACAAGACAAGTTTCTGTCTGACACGCATGCGTGGCCATATCAATTAAATACGAAACTAAATACTCAAATGCAGCTTATAAAAAAGGTTCTTGCTCTGGTCGACTTTCGTCGACCGTGACCACTTAGCTGTATAACGTTGTGGTGACTATAGTCGACAATGACCGGTTAAGGGTTAATAAGGATGTTTCTCCAGTTATTGCTGTTTTTTACCATTATTCCACTCCTAGTGTTAAAATGATTTCAGCCATGCACAAACTGATGTGCAAACTAGATCCTGTTTCTGATGTTAGTAGAGGAACTGTCCGATATTGTAAATAAATAAACCAACAACACATTCTATTAGCTTCATAACTACATTGATTGACATTGTATAATAATGATATTATCCATAATAATGTATTTCCTACCAAATTATAGCTAATACAAATAATCTTTTTATTGTTTAATTGTCTTGTTTTTAGATAACTCTCGAGAAGGATCACTTACTCCCCCTCCCCCACCTCCACCACCCCCAGCGCGGACAAGTCCCTCGCCTAGATTAATGAAATTTAAGGGTGAGTTATGTGCGACAGCTCGATGTATATATATCGTTGCCTGTCTTGCATGTTACTTGTCTGCTAAATAGTTTTGCATCATTTTTATTCTTTCACAATTTTTATATATTCATCCATATTGACTAAATATATATTATCACTATCTTGTTTAATATAGCTTATATATCTATTATTCTAACCATATGTTCAAAATATTTAAAATTTAATAAAAGTAGTTTTATCCCTTTTATTATTTTAACTGTATGTTCAAAATATTGAAATTTAAAAGAAGTAGCTTTATCCCTTTATGCTAGTTTCTCTCTGTCGAGTATTGCGTTACGATAGGATTGGTATGTGCAGATACATTCAAACACGTTTTGATACGGTAAGACCTGATAGGATCACCACGATTACTCCACAGTTTCATTCGTGATAGTGGGAACCTAGCATTTGCACTTGGTACATGTAAAAATATTGACTTTCCATTTTCTTGAAAAACATTTGAAAGAAATGTGATGTCTTTTTACTTTACAGTATTTTTTTTTATAGCTCATTTTTGAAACCAACTGAAACAGTTTGTCCCTTTACTGTCTGAGTCACAGAACTAGTATACAGTCCATAAATAGATCAAAGCTATTTGTAGGACTCAAGCTGTTTGGGCACACTGATCAGTGAATATTAGCTAGGCCGCTACAATCACTGACAGGGATGACATTGGTGTGTGTTAATTAGCTCACAATATTAATATTAACCTTTTTCTTGCTGCAAATTAAATCCTAGAACATTATTTTGGAGTATTAGAAAATATATAAAGGTGTTTGAAGTATATCTGGATAAAAAATATTTCCTAATTAGTGTAAATAGGTATAGAAAATGAGTAAACAGCCCTATTCTGCCCGAACCAGTACACGTTAACACTGCGCGCTTTTGAGTCAATGATGGATGCTACGTCACACATAGAGGGGGGTTGGATGGCTGAATGGTTAGCGTGTGCGCGCTGTATCATACAGTCTGTCATTGAGTCGACTGGCGTGGTTTCGAATCCCCGGTTGTACGTGGCAAGGAGTAGGGTCGCCTGTCCAACCTCGTGGGTTTTCTCCGGGTCCTCCGGTTTCCTCTCACTGCTAAAGACCCCTACGCGCAAGCGAATTATGTAAATAAAATTAAACCATATGTTAGTCCCGAAATGACCTAGTTTGTGTCGAGTGGACGTTAAACCCCATTTCTCTCTCTCTCTTACGTCACACATAGAAGGCATTTGAGCTTATAAAGGTTGGTCATCTTACACAGAGTTAAAAGAAGGCTTTTGCATTACCTCTGTGAAAAAGATTGCTGTTTGGGGTGCTAGAGGGAGCAGGGGTACTAAAGGGCTATATTTGTATGGGCCTAGGATCAAATATGATCATTTCTAATTACATGTATAATCGAAGCTTCTAGGAAATAGTTGTGTATTTATGCTCTGTTTAAACAAGGGCCATACATGTACATAGACAGGCAACGTCCTCTCTCTTCTTAGCCTTCAGAATTCTGTGGCACCACAGCAAATTAAGTCTTAACAGTTGTGACTAGAAAAGAATTACCTCGCCTTGGGTTTTACTATGGCTATAATATAAATAAACCTATGATGCATGCACGTTTCCTGACTGGTCATGCACATTGATTCAATATTTGTTGCTGACAATAATTCATCTGCCGTTATGTGGAAATAAATTTAATCTGAGGCCTAGATGTAATCGAACCAACGCTTAACATTCAAGTGACACTGGCGTTGTTAATTTTATCTGCAGAGGAAGCGAATGTTGTGAATTTTCAATTTATCCTAACTTTGTACATACTGAATGGAATTGAACCATTATTTTAAGAGTATCTTTTTTTGTTATTCTGCATTACCATCTACATGTAAATGTGGTTCCTCCTTGTCGGTGGTGCAGGACAAAAAAATGAGGTCCTGTGTACACATTGACATGTACTTAATAGAATCCTTCACAGTTGGAATTCGAAATAAGAGTAGACTGTAGTGCCACTGTCCAGGCAAAATTTACCTCTAGCACTCTATTATGCCGTAAGTCTGTCTTCATTATTCTAGTCGGTGCAGAAAAGTAGGGCGTTAAACCCCATTTCATTCATGTAAATGTAATAAAGCACATGAATACATTTATGTGGTATTCAGATGTGTCAATGACAATAATATTCAGGTGTGTCAATGATGATAATAATAGTAATACAGGTGTGTCAATAATAATATTATCAGTAGTAATCTACTTATATAGCCTACATGTAATGCAGGACGATGTGATAGCAAAATAAGTCGCAAGTCTTTTACCATATGAACAAAAATGTTAAACATACATTATGCAAGAGTTAAATCTGTCTATTGCAGGTCTTTCTTTAGGCCTGAAATGTTATCTAAATTGTTATTTAGACATTAATTAACCTATCCAGACCATAATCAACTCTAGATGGCATCGCTAGTCTGCGATCTTAAGTGGATTATGAGCCGATTTACATGTATATTTAGTCTATTTCAAAAATTTTATTCAAATATCATAAACAATGACTTGCGACTTTTGACTCAGTTTGCTGTCATGGATCACATTATAAAACTTACATCTTTAATGTTGTTATTTCATAATCATTACAATCTGATTTAAAACACAAATCCTATTTCGTTAGTTCAAAATTTTGTTTTACTTGTCTTTACTACACTAGGATCTGGAGGAGTTGTTATATAACTGGCATTCTAGTTGATGTGAGGAATTGGCCAATAAAACGGTCTGTTGCGGAGAGGTTCTAGGCGTGCAGGGCACGGAACTGTGGGTATCCCACTAGAAACATCAACACTGATTGGTTAATCAAATGTCTGACGTCATGTGGTCAAAACCCACTCATATGACCCCTACAACCGGTCATATCATCATGTAGTATAGGCCATCTAACTTATAACAAAACGAAACGAAATATAGATCTGTATTTTAATGAGATAGTAATTATTATTAATTATTTTTTTAAATGTTGGTGGGGTTAAATGTTAGTACCGTAATTTAATGTTGTATGATTATTTTTTTTAATTTTTGCACTTTTGTATCTTATTTGAATGTATGGTATATTACTGCAACTTGCTTGCCTGTCACTCACAGTTTAAAGAATCATCATTTATACCCTCGGATTAAAATGAGGTGAAAATGATCTCATCAGTCTTTTAAAGAAACTTAGATTTCTACTGACACGCTTGTATCATTTGTTCCTTTCAGTATCTGTTTTATTTCTCTGTGATTTTTTTTACATCAATCTGACCAGTTTAAATATGAAGGATATTTTATTACAAACATTTAATTCAGCTTAAATAAAAACTAACATTAGTTTTTGCAGCATCATTGGACTGATGAAAATAGTTATTTGGCAGTGATTGCTAGATGTAAAGTGAAATGTAGAAATCGTATTTGTGTTTTTCAGATGAAGACAAACAGTTGTCAGCTTCTGGTGTTCCACCACCACCATCAGTACCTCATCCAGGACTTGCCCATTCTGCTGCTCCACCACCGCCACCTCCTCCACCACCCAAAGGAAATGCTGGGCGAATTCCTTCACTTCTATCTATACCCACCTTCGCAACACGACCAGTTCCAGTACCTCTACAAACTGCTAGTAGTGGTCTGGTGACATTAAGCCCACAATCAGTACTGCCACTTCCTCCTCAAGCCATAGTCAATCCGACTGCAGCTACCATTATCAACTATCAAGGTAGAAATTCTTTAGCGTTTCTCAAGATATATAAATTATCAATTTACTGTATTCATTTGACAAACCCTTTCCTAAATATCTTTTTATAGCATAAGATTTGCCATGCTAACCTTATGCTGTCTACAAATAGCGGCCCTTGAGAACAGACTCTAAGCTATTTGTCCGAAATTTTAAGTCTTAAATTAACGATTTTAATCGAAAACACTTAAGTATGCTTCAAGTGTTTATTCTACTTCCATTTAATGAATTGAAAAAGTTTATTAAGTCTTTGTGTGTATGACAGATGTGAAATGGAGTAGAACCACATTACAAATATATATTTTTGGATATGGTGGCCATTCAGGGCAGAAATCGAAGTACAGTAGATAGTTTTCTGTGAGCAGAATGAAGATTTGCCATAAGAATTTCAAAAATATGTTTCAATTTCAATTAAAGTTGCATTGCTTCAGAAGGTCAATAAAGGTTTACATTATCTGGATTTAGCCCTGCATTGGCCGAGAAAGCGGCGTGGTTCCCCCTTGTTAGTGATGCAGGACAGAGGGCTTGATAAGGACAGCTGTCTAGTCATTCGGATGAGACGAAAAACCGAGGTCCCGTGTACACATTGGCGTGCACGTAAAAGATCCCTTGACAGTTAGAATTCGATATAAGAGTAGGCCATAGCAGACTGAATGGCGTATGCCGTCTTCGTTAGCCCTGTTCGGAGCATAACAGTAGGACGTTAAACCCCATTTCATTTCATTTCATTTTCATCTGGATTTTAGACAATTGAAACAAATATCTTGCTGTTTAGGGACAGAAATGACTTATCCTTCATTTGTCCACTAGCCAGTATAAGAGCAAAAAAAAAAAAAACCATGGCAGCTTGAAATAAATAGAAAAAGAATGTGATCTTTATATTGTGTATCATTTGAAAGTTTGTATTTGTTTTTTAGACTGGATTTTTTATTTATTTTTTATAAGTCAATACTTGATCTTCATTCAGTCAATTATTATTTGTTTTGCAGCACAAAATGGTGGAACAATCACTTCTCAGCCATCATCTTCTCAAGCCATGGTTTACCCATCATCTGTTAACGCGTCATCCGTATTTCCATCAACACAAGGTACAAGTCCGGGATACTCAGCACCTAATAAAAGTAGTTACAATAGATATCGTAGAAATTCATCACCGTCACAGTCGAATCATAAAGGGGGAAGAGAAAACCCCTACTCATCTTCTCATTCTTATAATAATAATAATAATAATCACTCGTCCGATGCCCATACTAGAAGCGATTGGTCGACTGGTAGACGTAGTAGTTACTCTAGTAAATATCATTGAATCTTATAGTAGTTGTGTACAGTAGGTTGTATATGGTAGCACCTTTTAACGTAGCAGAATTTTATACTCTTCAATCAAGCCTGGTTAATGAAGAATAATCTTACAGCACCTGTGATTCTTTTGAATCAAGCCTGGGTAATAAAGACAAATCTTAGTGCTTTAATGTACATTTAGAAAAAGTTAACTGTTGAATCAAGGCTGTTTAATAAAGACTAATCTTTATACTCTTGAATCAAGCCTGGTTAATAAAGAATAATCTTACAGCATCTGTAATACTGTTAAATCAAGCCTGGTTAATAAAGACTAATCTTTATACTCTTGAATCAAGCCTGGTTAATAAAGAATAATCTTACAGCATCTGTAATACTGTTAAATCAAGCCTGGTTAATAAAGACTAATCTTTATACTCTTGAATCGAGCCTGGTTAATAAAGAATAATCTTACAGCATCTGTAATACTGTTAAATCAAGCCTGGTTAATAAAGACTAATCTTTTATGTAGGAGGAGTTAACACCCTTGAATCAAGTATGGTTTATTTATAAACTCAATAACATAATATAGAACACAATGTCAATAGATCACTATTTTAAATCTAAAGCAATGTTAAATGTTTTCTATATTAAGTTATTGTGTTTATTACAATATCAGTTGCTAATGGTTTATTAGACTAACGGTACACTGGATTCAAGCATGGCTAATTAAGAATATCCAGTCAGTCGATTTCCATTAAATGTTGATGCTTTTCTTAGTTTTCCATATTATTTCGTAAGAAAGAGTTTATTCTTTTATTATTCTAATTCTGATTGTTTAATATACTTTACTAAAGATAAAGATTTGTTAGAGATTATTCGTTGGTTCTTTTTTAAGTATTTTGTTACAGAGAATTGTACAATAATGCAAAGGTTTTAATTTAACTGTTAATTGCTATGTACATAGTATATAATATTTCATTCAATTTCTGTGAATTCAACTCTGATAACTCGCATAATCTAAAAACTGTAAGAAATTGTGAACTATTTATAACATTAATACGGTTTCATTATATTTATAACTAAGCACTAGTTCTATATTTTTAAATAACGATGAAACTCTTTCCTAGTTTTGTTTTTCATTATAAATAACAATGTTTTCTTAAAATCTCATGGAAGGTTTTGTTTATATTTTAAAATATAGAATCAAGTTTCATTTAAGAATTTGTTTTTGTGTAATTTGCGTTCTGAATTTATAATTTATTAAATTTCCCCCATGACCTGTTCTGAACTGTTTTCTTAATGGCATTGTCATATGCATTTACACAGTAAATTTAGAATATTCTCAAAATGTAATTAAACACTTTGGCAGAGTATTGTTGAATTTATTTATTATTTTATGAGTTGCATTGATTGAGACTACTTATGATCACGTTTCTCAAATAATTAGTCTCGACTTAATTTAACATTTAAAAAACCTTTGTTGTCGTTCTTTAATTTATTGTAAAAAAATGTATCATTCGTTTCATCATCTGTGGACATCTTACATGATGAAAATAATTTATATGACCAAATTCATTCATTCATTCATTCATTCATTAGTAGTTGTATATAAATATCATGTTCATGTCATTCTAATGTCTATTATCATTCTCTCTTATTTCTTCAATCTACATTCTTTTATCTTCATCATTTCATTAGTTTTGTCTCTTAGATTTCATCTTTTCATTTGTAGTTCCTGGAGATGTTTATTTCTTGTAAGAATAGTTTTACTAGGTGTGAATTGTGTAGTTCATTTTGTAGATTGTTCAGTGTACAAATTGTATATTTTTTTCCTGCCAGTATATATTTATGTACAAATGGAGAAACAACGTCTTGTGTGTCATATTGGCAACAAAGGTATATTATTTCATTCAGGTCAGAGTACTTTTCCCATTTTTTCGAAATACATGTCACGTACAACAGGGGAATCGAAATCACCCCAGTGGACTCAATTACAGACCTTGTGATACAGCATGCACATGCTAACCATTCGGCCATCCAACCCCCGCTTTTTCAGATAATTCCAGACATTAATCCATAAAGAGCCAGTCGAATGTTTACCCCAACTCCAAAAATAGTCAAAAACGTCCAACTCCCTCAGATAATTAGTAAATTATAAAAGAAATTTTCACTTTTTGTTAAAAAAAAAAAAAAAAATTATTTTGAGTGTATTTCTGGAAAACTACTCTAATCTGAAGGGAATTTTGTTCTCAAATGCGCTCTATGTTTTTACGTTGAAATAATAGAGTTAATAGTACTTAATACATGTAATTCTTACTGCTGTAAATGTTTAAATAAGGGGAGTAACTCCCCCGTGTAAATATTAACTGTATAGTGACATGAATCAAGTGTCAAGTCTATTTGCTGTCTGTAATGATAAATACAAAATTCTCTTTAAATTTATGTATCTATTTTTATTTTCTATGCAACCAGGGCTTCTTTTTATTTAGGAATCACGCGGTTTCAATGCGGATTTCAACATTATAATCATAATCATAATGCTCAACCAGGGCTTCTTTTTATTTAGGAATCACACGGTTTCAATGCGGATTTCAACATCATAATCATAATGCTCAACCAGTGTCAAACATATACCGTGGGTCACATATGCTACAAATTGATTCTAGCATGTTCCACACCGCCCAACATTACTCGGTGGCACTGGGAGGTACTGATACCTCCCCCCTCCCCCCGCACACACAAATAAATATTGTTTTTTTTGGGGTCCGGACGGGATCTTGTTCGTCATGCAAAATCATGGGTCACCACGCCTCCGACACTAATTGAAGGGACGTCCATTGATCAATTCGTTAAACCTGGTCAAATTCCACGTCCAGTCCCGGATTCTGCACGACATAAATGTAATGCACGAGAAAGCACCCCATGATGAAAAATATTAATGGCCATTGATACTGATCTAACGCCAATTAATCCATTGGGTGAACTGACGCCCACTGATCTTGGGCCAGTAAGTTCTCTGGGATTTTATTGTGTGGTTTCCCCTATTCAGTAGTGCAGGAATGGAACATGGTCCTGTCATTCAGATGAGGCCAAAAAACCCAACGAAATATGTGCACACTTTGGAGTGCAGGTAAAAAAACAATTCACAGTTGGAATTCGATGTAGAGTAGGCGGAAATTCTGCTGGTTTGGCAAACTGCCTCTTGGTGTCTGTCTTCATTATCCCAGATGGTGCAGATAAGTAGGATACCAAACCCCCATAACCATGTCATTTCATGTCCAACCCTTAGCACTATGAGCTTTGAGCCCCCTCTCACACCCCAATAATTTGGCCGCAAGTACTCTTTCCTCCGGGTTGGTTTATGCACGCAAGTAGTTATTAGTTACAACGAGGTCTGATTTTAACATAGACGTAGACTTTCAGAAGAAAACCCTATTATGCTCTGTACTGATCCCTTGGTAGCGAGGGTCACGATTGTGTCACTTCCGTTGTATCTATAACAGATTAGGTAAATGTTGGGATAGAGTTTTTCTCATACTCTTTCCCTGTGTCCCTTATCTATCAAATAATTCACAGCTATCTATTGTGACCAGTTAAAACAAGCGGTTGCCATGCCTGGGGAGGAGGTAAAATTAATAGAGCTCATCCTCTCATTCAAGATCTTTTGATCCTAAACATATTTGTTAAGTTTCATCAGAATAGGACAAAAATTGTAGCCCCGCTGGACGACCTAAAAATTCATACATATTTCACATCTTGCGTAAAAAGCTTGGAATACAGCTCTAGAATGTGAGGTCTACTGCGTACCAAAGTCGAACTCATCCAAGAACTTTTGATCCTTAACACATACTGTAGTTTAAAGGAGCTAAATCGCTAACATTTGGGACCTAGAAATTGACAAAAGTGGGTCGCAACGCATATAATACTGTAATATGAATGTATATAAACTGATTTACATTCAATGGTTTCCGTTTTTACTCCAATTTCAAATCAGTTATGTTCGGCGAAATAAGCCAGCAGTCTAAAGCGAGTGCAAATCTCTAGCGTCTGGTTATTCCAGTCTACATACGCCGTTGATTTGGTGCAATGTGTCTAGCCTCGTCCCTCGAGTCTCTTGATACAACTGGGGCTGAAGCGCATTATGGTACACGATTCGTGTACCAATGGTAAAATGTTTATTTTGTCTTAAATATTGGATATCAAAAGCCCATCTTTTCCCGGTAAGATCACAACATGAATGTTGATTTAATTTGACAAATAAATCGTGTTTTCAACGTTGAAGATTTTGGATGATATTGAGTTAGAGACTTAGCTACTTTAAGTTTCATCTCATGAATCGGAAAAAATGTAGCCCCACGAAGGTCTACAAACTTCATTCATATTTCACATTTTGCGAAAAAAGCAGGGGGACCAATGCGCACCAAAACTAAACTCATCCAAGACCTATTGATACTCTTTTTAAGTTCATTCGGATATAACTTCTGACCTCTAGATGGTCCACAACCTGGGTATTACATGCTTTATACTAAATGTATTTGCGTAAACTGGAGTGGCCATTTGACTGAAATTTTCAGTCCGATTTTCAGGAAATTCGGACTCAACCATAACTATGATGTAACGGTGATATATTTGAACGATTTTGAAAAAAAAAAAAAAAAATGGTGACCTCTAGAGTAGAGGGTCCACAAGCTAAAAAGGTGACATTTCGTACAATCAGGGGTCATAATCCAGAAAGTTAGGCCCAACAAGTACCAATATCGAAGGGAAGCCAGACCTTTGGGATATATCAAAATTGGATGAAAATTCGAACCTCTGGATGGCCCACAACCTGAGTATTACATGCTTTTAAGGGTAGCGGCAATTTTGTCGGACAGTTTCGGTCCAATTTTCACGAAATTTTAACTCGGCCGTAATTATGGTGTAATGGTGATATAATATTGGTGAAATATTATTTCAAAGGTTTTGATAATCAAATAAGAACTGTGAGGTCTAGAGGGTCCACAAACTAACAATGCCGAGATCTTTCGGTTATAAACATACATTGTCAGTTTCATCAAAATCGTATAAAAATTGTGACTTCTAGAGTGTCCACAACCTTGGTATTATGCATACATTTGTCAATTTCAGCACTACAGGATTAAACCACCATCAACTGTATTTGTATGGTAAGGGATTCAGAAAAGAAATAAAATTTAATTTCACTGCTGAGTAATTTCATAGGCCAGTCACTGGCGATCTAGATCCTTAGGAGCTTCCGGGGCCTAGGCCGCCCTGGACCCTCACCCAAAGTCCTAGGATGGTAGCCCCCCCCCCCCCAATCAAGAATTGCTTCCACCGGCCCTAATTCCAGAGACGAATATAAAACACAAATTTATATGGAAGACAATCACTGGGTTTATTTCACACTACGTTAACTTGAGAACGACAAGAGGAACTTGTTGAAACGTAGTGTGAAATAAACCCAGTGATTGTTTTCCATATATATTTGTGTTTTATATCACATGTTCAATTACTAAATGCCGTATAAGGATTTCCAGAGAAGACAAGTATGGCTGTTTCAAGGGTCCCTAATCTAGTTAAAGTTTGGCCCCCCTTTAAGTCATGAATTTACGTTGTTTTTGATGAATTGTTAAGAACGTCACATGTTAAATATGTGCTTAGGCTAGAAACACCAGGTTATACTCTAGATGGCACCATTTACAGGCACCGTTCGCGCCCGACTGAAGGGAACCCTTCCGGACTCCACTCCGTATAGAGTGAGAACCCCTTACTGCCTCTTGCCCGTTCCTGGTATCATGTAGACCGATAGTAACCACATGATTGTTCATTGGAATTTTCGATGAAACGGACATGTTTGTTCCGCATAGTATTTATCTGAGAAGGGAGTTATTCTCTTGTGGAGCCACGGTGGCTAAGTGGGTAAGACGCTGGCTCGCTAGCCTGGAGGTCGCGTGTTCGATCACTGCATTGGCCGAGAAAGTTCATCGGGATTTTCAGACGTGGTTTCCCCTTGTCAGTGGTGCAGAACGGAGGGCCTGACAAGGACAGCTGTCTAGTCATTCGGATGAGACGCAAAACCGAGGTTCCGTGTATACATTAACGTGCACGTAAAATTTTCCTTGGCATTTGAAATTCGATATAAGAGTAAGCCATAGTGCCGCTGGCCGGGCAAAGTTTCCTTCATAGCAAACTGCACAGCGTATGCCCGCCTTCATTAGCCCAGTCGGAGAAGAACAGTAGAACGTTAAACCCCATTTCATTTCGTTATTCTCTTGTGTCTCGTGATGGATACAAGAAACCCTATGCCCAAATTTGTAGAAACAGATATTTGATGTCAGTTAACCCATTTGTATTCAGCATTTCACACAAAATCATTTCACACCTGTAGCACTTTCCCCTCGAACTAACAATAAATTGTTTATTAAAATATTCAATTAAACGGAAACGTTCCTGTAGCTGTAGAATAATCGATCAAAATAGCATGTGTTAATTTATATGATATCTTAAGGTCTACCATGTGATATGGAAATTTGCAACACGTTTTAACACCTTATCTTTCTTCATGAAATCACAATGAATTGTTTATTGAATAAAACGGAAACATTTTTTTTGTGTGTTTTGTAGCTGTAAATTAATATAAAAATTATCATTTTATATGGCGTATTTCTACTTATGATTAAAGTAATCAAGTAATGCAGAAATTTGCAACACGTTTTAACATCCTATCTTTCCTCTCATTTTTCAGTCATAAAAAGGAGTATGGTGGTTTCAGGGGTCCAGAAACTAATTAATGTTCTTGCGTAGTTTGGAGAACCCTTTTAGTCGTGATTTTTCGTCGTTTTTGATGAATTGCTAAGGTTGCCGCACGTTAAATATGTGTTAAGCTAAAAACACCAAGATATACTCTATAAAGCACCATTTATAGTCTGTTTTTTCTAACGAAATATTGCGCCTGTTCGGAGAGAACCCCATCGGACCCTCGCCCTCATAGAGTGGGAAGCCCTAACGGAGCAAGGATCACTCCGCCACAGGTTCGTATCTGCCTGCAGTTTTTGTCTAGTGTCTATTGTTGACGAAAAACAGTATTGGTCTGGCAATCACGAGAACTTGTGAAATAAATAACAGACATAAAAAGTCCCTGAACCTGGCCTCGCGAAGCGTTACCTCTCCATGGGGGTCCGATGACATTTCTTTTGAAAAACTGACTATAAATGATGTTTCTATGGTATGTTGTGGTGTTTTCAGCTTATGCACCAATTCTATGTCTGATGATCTTATCGGAAATTAATTTTTGAACCCCGTATTGAATTCAGTAACTCTGAAAACTTTATTTTTCAAGCGATGTCCACATGAACAAAATTCACCATATTGGATTCTATTTTCATTTTCGTTTTAAATTTACCCCAGAAATTCAACTCTGCAAACCTCAAAACCCTCA